TTTTCTCCAGGCATGGTGGCTCATGCCTGAAATCCTAGAACTTTGGGAGGCTGAGGTAGGAGGATCACTGGAGTCCAAGAGTTTGAGACCAACCTGGACAACATAGTGAGCCCCCTTCTGAATAAAAAGAAAAAAAGAAAAAGAATTAGATAGAGACAAGATATCACTATGGTGTCCAGGCTGGTCTCAAACTGCTGGGCTCAAGTGACCCTCCCTCCTCGGCCTCCTAAAGTGCAGGGGTTACAGGTGTAAACCACTGCACCTGGCCAGTGCTGCATGTTTTTTTTGGTGTTTCTTTTTTTTGTGACAGGTTCTCACTGTCACCCAGGCTGGAGTGCAGTGACATGACCACAGCTCACTGCTGCAGCCTCGACCTCCCAGGCTCAGGTGATTCTCCCACTTCAGCCTCTCCTGAGTAGCTGAGACCACAGGCACATGCCACCCATGCCCAGCTAATATTTTTAATTTTTTTTTTTTTTTAAACATAGGGTCTTTCTGTGTTGCCTAGGCTGGTCTCGAACCCCCGGGCTCAAGCAATCCTCCTGCCTCAGCCTCTCAAAGTGCTGGGATTCAGGCATGAGCCACTGCTCCCAGCCAGGGCTGCATGTTTTATAAGCACTGTCTTTCTTTTTTATTTATTTATTTTTTTTTTTTTAAAGTTTTTTTTGAGACGGAGTCTTGCTGTGTTGCCCCAGGCTGGAGTGCAGTGGTGTGGTATTCATTCACTACAATCTCTGCCTCCTGGGTTCATGAAATTCTCCTGCCTCAGCCTCCCGAGTAGCTGTGATTACAGACACGCACCTCCATGCCTGGCTAATTATTATTTTATTTGTTTATTTATTTATTTTGCTATTTTTAGTAGAAACAGGATTTCACCATGTTGACCAGGCTGGTCTCAAACTCCTGGCCTCAAATGATCCGCCTGCCTCGGCCTCCCAAAGTGCTGGGATTACAGGTGTGAGCCACCGCGCCCTACCAGCACTGTCTTATTTAATACTCATCACAAATCTTTGCCTCAGGCATGATCATGTCCATGTTACAGAAGAGGAAACTGAGGCCAGAAAGGTAGAGTGGCCCCAGCCAGGTCATATAGTGTGTTAGTGGGACAGCCACTGTGGGGCCCAGGTCAGGGATCCTGCACTGCTCCACATGACAGGCCAGGCAGGGCCACTAGCCTCAAGGACTCATGACCCGCTGTGGGTCTGAGGGTTCAGTATTTCATGTGGTATACATGTGGGAATAATTGGAGTAGTGCTGAGGCATGCCAGATAGGCTGAGGAAATGATGCAGTGGGAGACCCAGGGAGTCCAGAGCTTGCTTCTCCGGTGTCCTGGAGCCCAGTGCTGAGATCTCGCCTACGACCCTGGTTCTGAGTCTCTCTGGTCCTTGCTGTGTGACCTTGGGTAGGTGCCTTTCCCACCCTGAGCCTTGGGTCACTGTCTGTGAGGGAAGCAGTGGTACAGGTGTTCTCAGAGGATCTTTCCCATCCTGATATTCTCAGATTCTAGGATTTGGTCACTTTCATGATCTGTGACACTAAAATCTGTTACACTTGGGCATGGAGGAGAAGGATGAGGTTCTAGAAGAGCTAAGCCAGAGATTTTTCTTTTTTCTTTTCTTTTTTTTTTTTTTTTTTTTTTTGAAACAGAGTCTCACTCTATCGCCCAAGTTGCAGTGCAATGGCACGATCTCGGCGCACTGCAACGTGTGCCTCCTGGGTTCTAGCAATTCTCCTGACTCAGCCTCTGAGTAGCTAGGATTACAGGCATGCACCACCACGCCCGGCTAATTTTTATATTTTCAGTAGAGACGGGGTTCCATCACGTTGGCCAAGCTGGTCTTGAACTCCCGACCTCAGGTGATCCACCCACCTCGGCCTCCCAAAGTGTTGGGATTACAGGCGTGAGCCACTGTGCCCGCCCTAAGCCAGAAATTTTCATCCCGTTTTCTGGTTCTTATTCTATCTCATCCTTGTTTCTGGAGCTTGAGTCACTGAGGTTTCGTGTGTCCTACCTTGGGAGTCTGAGGGGACATAGCCCTGCCCTGGGGTATCTGAGAAGATGCAGTCCCAATTAGAGGAGGGCAGAGGGAAAATAACCCCAGGCCAGCAATGGATTGGGGACAGATCCTCATCTCAGGGAGATATGGGCCCTGTAGGGGATAAAGGTCCTTATTCATCTGGGGGTGGGAGATACTAGATGGCCCCCCCGTCACCCTCTCTTCCCTTCCCCCAGCTACCTCTACCCAGATGGAAAGAACCACAACCCAGACCTGACTGAGCTCGACCAGGCAGAAGCCCAGCAGCGCATCCACGTATCAGAGGTGAGACCCGGGCCTGCACCTTCAGTCTCGTTCCCTGACCCTGCCACCCCCACGTTGCCTTGGCTCAGAGGCCTGGGGTTGGAGTGTTGGCTTGGTGGCTGCGTGACCTTGGGTAAATCACTTGACCTCTCTGAGGCTCAGTTATTCTTCCAGAGAATACGGCTCCTCCTGGCTCTTTCCCAGGGGTGATCACAGGGATTAAATAAGGAACTAATGCTGCTGAGATCATCAGGACAGCTAATGCATTTGGGCATTTGCCAGCGATGGCCCTGTGCCAGCTCCTAATCTTCACAGCCACCCCCGAGTGAGAGAAAAACAACAATAATAAATACATAATTTATATTTTATTTATTTTTATTTTTAGAGACAGGATCTCTTCTGTCACCCAGGCTGGAGTGCAGTGGTGCGATCATGGCTCACTGCAGCTTCGACCTCCTGGCTCAAGCGATCCTCCCACCTCAGCCTTCCGAGCAACCGGGAGTACAGGTGTGAGCCACTGCACCCAGCTAATTTTTTTACTTCTCTGTAGAGATGGGGTTTCGCCATGTTGCCCAAGCTGGTTTTGAACTCCTGGGCTCCAACGATCCTCCCACCTCCACCTCCCAAAGTGCTGGGATTATAGGCATGAGCCACTGTACCTGGTCCTACATTTTTTTAGTATAAATATATCCCTTGCAATATTTGGGACATCTTTATACTTCAAACTGTATTCACTGTTTACATGAAATTCAAATTTAGAGGCCAGGTGCCACCGCGCCCGTAATGCCAGCACTTTGGTAGGCCGAGGCGGGCAGATCACCTGAGGTCAGGAGTTCAAGACCAGCCTGGCCAACATAGTGAAACCCATCTCTACCAAAAATACAAAAATTAGCTGGGTGTGGTGGCTCACACCTGTAGTCCCAGCTGAGGCACTTGAGTTGGGAGGCTGAAGCACAAGAATCACTTGAACCCGGGAGGCGGAGGTTGCAGTGAGCCGAGATCACACCACTGCACTCCAG